GTCTTTTAGTCTGGGGTAGGGTATATAAAATCAAAACTTTAGGTCTGGGATAGGGTCAGGGTTTTGAGGTCCTGGTGGCACACCCCTACCCAATTGGGGTTGTTGTTCCCCCCCCCCGGGGAAAATAAACACTCAAGGTTACTGGCGACCTTCAGGGGTATGTTTCTCTTAAACTTTCTTTACACAACACGTTCAACAAAACCCCCCAATACTATRTTGTTTTAAAGGTCATATRTGATAAAGATTTTGAAATGTGAGCRATTTTTGATATATTGAGTATTTTGTCTTTTATGAGGTAAAACAATATCTGGCATTGAAAGATTTTGACGTTCCAAATTTAAAATTCAATAATTTTTTAAAGAAGCAAAATATTAAAAATCGCTCGTATGCTTTTGTAGTTTATCCTTCGCTTATTCACATAGTCAAATTCTTTTGGCTATACACGCTAAATCCATGTCCATTAATTCAACTCTACTGAACGTGCTCGATTTGTGTTTAAGGCTCCGGCATTGTTTCAAATTAAAAATTCTCTTTCAAATAATATTATTTTCTGAATCTTTATTATGTGACCTCCAAAAGGATATATAGTTTTATAGGGTTTTATTGAAAGTGTTGCGAAGAGAGAGTCTTAAACAAAACATACCCCTGAAGGTCTCCAGTAACCTTAAGAATAACTATGACATTTTTCCATATCCTCACTAGTGAAGATAGTCTCTGATCCTAAAATTGTTTTGATATTGTTCCTAGCAATCCAATGACTATCAGAACTACCATGGTCTTCATTATTATTATTAATTATTATTATCTGCACTAGTGAGAACAGGGAAAATAATTATGTCACTGATGTCCTGTCCTGTATGGAAAATGAGTGGCATATTTCCTAGCTTATTATTATTATTGTTATTATTATTATTATTATTATCATTATTATCATTATTATTATTATTATTATTATTATTATTATTGTATTATGTAAATATGCCCACTACTAGTCCTACTACTACTGCTGCTGTTGCTGCACATTCACTTGGATATTAAGTAATATATATTTTGGGTGGAGACAGTATAAGATTACCTGTATGTAAGATGCCCTAGTAACAATCACTAAATGGTAAATAGTAATTAGCAATTGCACTATTTCACTATGACGTCACTGCTTGTTTATGTGGGGGATAGAATTGCCAAATCCAATAGAAAATTCAACAAAATTTGCTCCTAGTGAAACAGTTTAATCTAAGATGGCCTGGTTTTTAGATATAATACGTGTTAATATGTACTAAAAAATATTCTGAGAGTTTGCTGGCTATTTTACTTCTCTTCGTGGATTGATACGGGTTTTAGAACAATTTTCGGTGAATTTGCGTTGATTTGACCCCCTCCGACGACCATGATCCTTGCGTTTAAACAATAGATTGTTTTGATGTGACGTCATAGTGAAATAAAGCAATTAGCACTAATGTTAAATAGCAATTAACAAATGATTTTTTAAATTTATAACATTATTTTTGAATAGGTTTAATGTATGACGTTTTACACCAAATTAATGGCTTAAAAGTTCAGGGCAGCACAGAATTATAATTATTTTTAATGATGACATTGATCTTCAATTTTCTTTCAGCATTGGGTCAATATTGGCAGACATATCAGACATCATGAATTCACCATCTCTGTCAGTCATAGATAATTTAAAGAATATTCCACAACACTACCAAAAATTAAAGAGAGACTATAATTCCTTTCAGAATAACCTAAAAGGCATAAAAAGTAAGAGTCTTTAGAAATTTAAATTATATGTTTGCAGGAGAGAATTGTATTGTTTTCAAAATACCAGATTTCTTGTWTTTTTGGGTTACCAAGTGAATTCCGCCAACAACCATCCCTATTAATAAAAGGTCTTTTAAATGTGAGGGTCATGCTCAGTGAGTCCAAAATAGGCTCCCACAAGATGGCGCGGGGAATTGTAAAGTGGACTATTGGTTTATAGGCTTATGAATTATGCATGAGTTTTTGAAAGATTTTTAAAAAGTACTGTATGATGATATATGTATAAAACGAGAAATTGAATTGAGATTGTTCATTTAGTGGATATTAGCATGAAGTGGGGATTCTAAAGCCTCCCAGTTCTCTTTTCTGTGTGTAGTAAAGGGTGTGGTCAAGGAGCCAAAACCCCAACCCCAGGCTTGAGCTAAATGGCAGTGAGACAGCACTATATAACACTTGGTAATTGTCACTCATACCATTAACCAAGGAAAGAACTGTGCAGAACTCTTGCCTCTAAAGTTGTGTGGGGGGGGGGGGGGGGGGGGGGGGGGGGGGAACTAAATTTGAAAATGAATGCATACAAGAATGAGTTGTGCATGTTTTTTGCAGAGAGAAGAACACTCTCAAGCATAGATACAGTGCCATTTTTTTCCTCAGTGAAAACCATTATTCTAACATATATTTTTTTCTTCCCAGACTTTACATTAGTAGACATTATTTCCAATTCAACTGAGGTTCTGAAGCTCTTTAAGAATCTGTCCATACCTCTGTCAGTATCAGATGCAATACTAAACAGCACTGTCAGTGGAAGTGAGGTAATGATTTTTCTTATCATAGCAACTGAATGAAGAGTAGGATATAACTAACTAAACAGAAGTCAAGGAATTGAAATGTGTGGCATGACCTAATACATTAGGTTAAAACCTCGAAGGAAGTTCAAGAATTGCCCTAAAGTCTTGGTAATTAAGATCACTAATCTGCACTTTTGGTTGCTGGGAAATGTTTCTTAAGGAGACTTTAGCCAAATTACAAGGCTGCGGTTAAAATGTTCTGGATTCGTCCATCTTTTTAGTTTGTAGATACTTGTTTTAATGGGTAGTAGCCTTAAAGACCTGTTTTGATAAACTAGAACTTTTTCTTTAATTGGCATTTTATCAGTTTTGCATCCGATAGCATGGAAGGAATAGGTTGATTTCTCTAAATTGTTTCCATTTTAATTGCAGATAAGTAAACTACTTCACGCAAGCCGAGCTGGTAGTGTTCAATCTACTTTTAATAAAAACACTGGAATCCTACCATTACTTGCATCTTTGCTAATGATGCAAAGTATGTTTAAATCGCCAAGTCACAGCTTAAACTCCACTGTTCAGGTACGGCCTTGGAATACTTYCTTTTGGTATAATGTTTTAGCAACATCGGGAATTTAAAAAAATTGTAGAGGTTGGAACAATACTCCATTTTACAGTTCCCTTCAGTGACCAAAAATAATATTTTGAAGTCGAGGATGCAGTTAGCAAAACTATACTTTTTATCATGCGTAGTAACTCCAACCTCGGCTTGGARSTATCATTCGTGGTCACTGAACGGAACTGTAAAACGGAGTATTTTCTGAACTATTTTGAAAACTGTCCGCATCGCGTTCTGAGGGGGGGGGGGGGGGCACAATATCCGCCATATTTTCCCAGTGAAATTTATGCGTTGGGTGTTTAGTCGAGTGACGTGCTGGTTCAGAAGAGAATTAGAATGCTGATCGATGCGTACCTCCACTATTAGCGTCTCGCTAGTGTATTTTTTCTCCACATGAGCAGGTGCCTTGGTAGACGTAATTGGAGGGGAGTGTTATTTTGTCCCTAAGGTTAACTAGACTTCTGATTTTCCTGGTTTACCACACTACAATACGACGAAAACGTATTTTTACCACTATTGTGAATTTTCTCCCTTTCTGATTGGTCAAGAAGCGGGGGAATTAGGAGGACATACCGATAAATTACGTAAGCAAATTACGCGCTCGCATGAAACCCCGCTTTTAAMATTTTTTCGCCTTGTCTTAGTAGTGAAAATTTTTTTGTGGTTAAAAACTACGCCTCGYGGGTCCACAAAATTTGGACGGCTATGTGACTCCTACCTGAGTTTTTTGTTTTTACTACAAAATGGAAGTGGGATGAAGATCTTTTTCCTCTCTTGGAAAAGAAAATCTGGGATGATTTGATTGTCTTCTTGTGTTTGTTTGGTTTCGGAGTGCTTGATTCAGACTTTAACGTTTATCACTTTGATGTTTAATAACATACATGAAAAAAACTACTCAATTATGATTGGCTTAKAGCAGTGTTGTTAAGGTAATTCCCTTATTTTGCATTTTTTCTTCGCATGCAACTAAAAGCATGGAACTATCAAGACCTATCAAGGTTTAGACATTTTTCTTTCGGAAACTAAATGAGGAACATGTTCAATTACATGGGCGCGCGGAGATACGAAATTTATCTTCTTGTGTTGAAAATCTCTCACTCGTTCGCTGCGCTCGCGTGAGRGATCTTTTCAACACTCGAAGATAAATTTCGTATCTCCGCGCGCCCATACTGAGATTTATATTTTGCATCTTCCGGTTTGTAAACCCATTTCGCGTATTTTCTTAGCCAATCAGAATGGCGAAACGACTGTCACGTCACAAAGTAGCTTGTCAAGAAGTATCGTTTTTTTCGGCAGTTTTGTCGAGCTTTGTCGTTCTTTCACGGCAAAACAAATTCTTGCTTGCTGGCTTACTTAGGTTCAGGTTTTCCTTTATTTTCACCTCAAAATATATAATTAAGTTGGCTGAAAAATCTAGAAGATTTGCTGCTCTGGATAAACCTATAGAGAGATTCATTGAGCAGCAAAAGAACCAAGAATTAATACTCTMTCCAAAACACGAARAGATGTTGGTTTATTGACTGAGTTCCTATGAGAAGAACGAAGCAAGAAAATTCCTAGAAATTACACCAGAAGAATTAAATGACGTTATCAGCGAATTCATTATTGCTGTTGGGAGAAAGGGCAGCGAAGAATTTTACAATTTAATGTAACGATAAATACTGTAAACAAGTCGCCAAACACTACAGATGGTTTCGTTTCTACAGCACATAACTACGAACACATTAAGCGAGTTTTCAAGTCGTCCGGCGATAATGACAGCTCACCGCTACAGTGACGTGGTTGTTAAATTTTACTCTCTAGAAGCAAAACTTTGYTCATAATTGAAAATTTTGATTGGTGGTGCTTTTAAGTTTATAAAACTGTACTCAATTAAGTAGCAAAAAAAACGAAAACAAATACAAAAACAACTAGAAAATCTCAGCTTGTATGAAATAAATAACTTCATGGGGAGGGCACTTGTAGGGCATTTTCGCACTCGTTGGTTTGTATCAGAAATAGTTCTTTCACAGCAAAACAAATTTTTGCTAACAACTTCAATTCTTGCTAATAACTTCATGGGGAGGGCACTTTTACGGCATTTTCCCACTCGTTGGTTTGTATCAGAAATCTCACTCGTTCGATTTCAGATACGTCACCAACTCTACTTCTGCGAAAATACCGTACGCGCGCCCTCCTCATGAAGTAATCTATATATTAAATAACTATGTGAACTTTAAGATACAAATCAATTTACTTTGCTGAACATATTTGAACACATTTGACTTTATGCATATTACATTAKCGTTTTAGTTGTCGTTAGAGCCTGTGGGCAATTTAAATAGTTTTAAYAGTGTTTACACTTACCAATGCCTGGAAACATGAGCTTCAATTCAACCACAGCCACAGCTCTTATACATTTTTTATGGCTTTAAACCTTCGTCGAACGCCTTTTGGAATTTCAACTGCGACTAACCAATCAGAAGCTAYTTCSCGGAATATGAAGTTCGCTTTGGTTGGCTGGTTCAGAMAATAGCTCGTGCATCAAATYAATTAGCAGCTCGGTTCAGCAGACTCCATTTTTTGGYGAGATCACCGAGTGTTAAAAATCCWGTCTGCAWAGCAGGCTGCCAGCGGGAAATCTCAAATAAATAAATAAATATCGATGTGGACACGAATTAGTGCCGTTTCAGAGCTTTGGAAATATAACTAACTTTACGTTGTTTTTCATAACTAATACCATACTTTTTGTCTGCTTGTATTTTTTTATTAGAACGACAGATTCAACCTCAGTCAAAAAAATTGTAATTCAAACGATTTGACAAAAGAATTTTTGCTGTCAGATCCCAGTAAGGTGTGTTTCATGACATTTGACTTAGTAAATTATATTATAGTTAATAGACATAGTTATTAACTATGGTTATGTTWACAATGTCACATCCTTAAAGTGTGTTTTCTGCCACAGGAAAGTGTACTTTACTCGCTGTGCAACCTTTCGCCAAATCAAGCTTCGCAAATTCGGAAAGTTCTAGTCTCCCACCTCAACACCAACAAACTGATGGTTCAGGTAATGAAAKTTGTTTTGTTCTTATCGAATCACGTTTCGATGTAATTATTCAGTACAGTGCTATTGCTAAATGAAGGTTATTTTTTGTCTTATTACTATTTTCTGGGATTTTGTCTCTTTTATAGCTGAACGTAACTCGACACGATTTGAACAATTTCAACGAAACTTTCCGTCGCCTCAGCCTTGACGTAAGTACATTTTTCCTTATATCCTCTTCTCATCCCTTAATTATTCATTCGTGTCCTTCGTCTCTCTTCTCTTTTTATCTCCCCACTGTGTAACTACCAAAGATATTGGTTTAAATAGCCATGATTTTAAATTGTTGTAACAACCAATAATAATRATAATGCTGAAGCGCTGAGTAGAACCAATCTGGACGAACCAAGTTTAACCAAAAAAAAAAGGGAAAAAAAAGAATGGTCAGTACGACCAATATACTTTAGTTTGTAACTGTTTCTTTAACTATTTCTTAAACTGCATTTTTAAAAAGTGAATTTTAATGCTGATTTCAAATATGAAAAGGAAAGTGGGGTTTCCCGAGGTTGTTTTYGAGATAATCATCATTCAATGGATGCATACGTGCGAGTTTTTGGAGCAAAAATTGCGCCACCGGGAGTGATCAAAAAATATTAATATTCATAAGATAATAGTTTTTTCCGTACTGTATTGTAGTAATAATAATGATAATAATAATAATGATAATAATAATAATGATAATAATAATAATAATTATTATTATTATTTATTACTATTAAAATTTATATAGAGCCATTTCAAGTAGCTCAATGGCGCTTTTCAAAATCGCGATAAAATTTATAAAAATTCAAGCATAAACTAATAATAGAATAAAATTCTATCATAAAAGTATACATTAAAGATATTGAATGCTTACTTAATAAATAAATATTAGAACTCGAAAACTGAAGTAAGTCTCAATCARTCAATCAATCAATAAACTTTATTTAAAGAGGGTAAACACGTAACAGTACTAAAAACTGACAAACCTGTGGCCCTCTATAAATAATAATAATACACTCTAAAATTGTCTTTATTTAAAAGCTTCTCTAAAAAGTAATGTCTTTATCTTTGTTTTAAATTCATTAAGTGTTTGATTACAATGTTTTATGYCATSGGGCAGCGCATTCCATAGTTTTGGTGCTGCTGTTTGAAAGGACCTATCTCCATAAGACTTAGGATTGCTTTTTGTTACCTTCAGAAAATTCTTGGTTGATGACCGTAATTGCCTAGATGGTTTATAAAGTTGAACAAGTTCAGTTAGATATTTTGGTGTCATTCCATTTAATGCCTTATATGTGAGAAGCAATATCTTATAGATAATTCTTTGTTTGATTGGAAGCCAATGTAGTTTGTAAAGAATTGGAGTTATGTGTTCTGATCTGYGAGTTTGTGATACCAGACGTGCAGCACAGTTTTGTGCATACTGCAATCTATCAAGAACGTACTTCGGAAGGCCATATAGAATTGCGTTACAAAAATCTAACTTCGAGKAAATGAATGCATGCACGAGTGTTTCGGCATCATCTTGGGAAAGACAGTTCCTAATCTTGGCGATGTTTCGTGAGTGGTAGAAGGCTGATTTGCAGGTGTTTCTGACATGTTTCTCTAGGTTGATGTTTTTGTCAAAAACAATTCCTATGTTGCGTACATACTCAGAGCCAGTGATACAGTCATCAGCAACTTTTATACCATCAATGAATACAATCAGAACTGTAGACCATCCAATTGACGCCAGGCGAGAGTCCTYATTATACACGAATGACGGCTAGTGAACCATTCTACAATAATTCTCTACTTTCACATCCCCATAATACTTTGCGTCTTTGGGGGGTAACCAGAGGGTAAGAACCCACTTATTTTGCTGAAGGCTGATCAGACAATGTTGAAAATGCCATGTTTGGTATCCAAAAATAAAACGAAGAAGTAAAAAACAGAAAAAGATAGAAGCTAGAAGACGTTTAAGGTAAATTTTAAACATTTTTTCTTGAGTCAATACATTTTTTGTAAGACCAAAACTCTTAATGATCTGTACACGCAAAAGTAACTTGGAATAAACGGATAATCAGTATTGTACAGATAAAAGCAGGTAAAGTATAAATTCAATTAAGAAACCTTTCAGTTTGGGACAGTTTTTTGWTTAGTTAGCCCCCAAAGACGCAAGTAGAGAATACATGATTTTCGACAAAAAGGCAAAGAAATACATTGATTTGTCATATTTCGTCCTTTTACTCTCAAACACTCTCATTCATCTATTTTTTCATGTGCTAGAAAAAATAACTTTTCTAAAAACTTGATGTAACCTTCATTTTTAAGAGTTTTTCGAATAAGTTAATAAAAAGTAAAAATTTGAGTGTTTTGTCCTCTTGAAGCTCAAAACATCTATGGCGCTTCATTGGGTTTTGAGCGCGTGCACATCGTGGGCTTGAATCGACCGTTCAAAATTAGGCAATCACCTTCAATGCATATGAGAATTTAGTATAAATACATAGGTGATTATTGAAAATCTCGCGCGCTGATTGGTCAAGAAACTCAGATTATCACACGATAATCACCTCCAGCGGTAATCCAAAATGGCGGCCAGCTGCTTTGTTGCTGTTACCTAATTTTAAATGTGCCTTTTATCTTTTCTTGAAAGATTTATCTGTATATTTATACTAAAACAATTGTTCACCTCAGGCTCAATGAATATCGGGAATAATAACTTCAACTTCGTTTCGTTTATTATTCCCCGATATTCACTTCGCCTTCGGCGAATAATTGTTAAATATTATCCATATATTTCGTACTACAGTTGAAATGTATCTGATTGAGCTGATCCTCATAGTATATCAAGCAACTTATGCAGCGGCATATTTTTGAGGCTTTAAGAAGCTAAGTCTTGAACTGGATTTGAACCCATGCCACTGCGATTCCCGTTCAATGTTCTAAACCACTGAGCTATCAAGTCTCATGAGAATTCAAGGACACATTATGTGGGCTGAACGGYTCGATAAGAACCGATATTGGTAGTGACAACCTATTTCATTTGGTAACAGTGCATGTTGACCATCTATTCTAGGTTGAAACAGGGAAGGCAAAACCTTCGTGGACCAACTTCCTGGACCCGGTCCATGGACCGCCTTTCGTGAACTATGCACGTTCGTGGAACGGCCACTGTAAAAACAACATTGAAAACAGATAAAGAAATTACCGATTATAAATAAAGGAAAATATTTGACTTGCTTACGCTTACACTTTATTGAAAACCCATCGAAAACGGTCCACATAGTTTATAATTTCAGACTTACGATTTCTCTAAATTATATTTCCTGCTAATATACCAAATTTTCGTCCTTTCAACATTTTCTGCAAGTACACCAAATTTGCTYTTATCCAATAAAAAATTGATAGCTGAAAATGCGACTTGCTTCAGTGCCGCCATTTTGTATATTAGCAGTTTACATATATATTTGGTGTGTGCCTAAGCTAGTCAATTATTTTCCTTTCTTTAACATCGGTAATGTCTTTATCGCTGTTGTCAATGTTGTTTTTTTGGTGGTTCACGAACATGGTCCACGAAAGGTGGTCCATGGACTGGGTCCACGAAGGTGGTTTATGGACAACGTGTCCGTGTTTTGTACTCACTCACTGAAACAACCCTCGATAAAATTTGTAGTAACGACCAATTCCATTTTGTACCCGCTTTAACCATATATTCTAGGTTAAAACTACCCTCTGAGATATTGTTAGTAATAACGTATTCCATTTGGTAACTGTGTTAACCATTTATTATAGGTTAAACCAACCCTCTGCGATATTGACAGTAATAACGTATTCCAATTGGCAACAGTGTTAACCATATAATCTAGGTTAAACCAACCCTCTACGATATTGATAGTAATAGCCTATTCCATTTGGTAACAGTGTTGACCATATATTCTAGGTTGAAACTAATCTCAGCGATTGTACGCAATCACCATTGTATTTGGTTACGTGGCTAACCATTTATTCTAGGTTGAAACAACCGTTGCGATTTGGTTAAAGTGCTACTACGACGAAAATCGCTCAAACTTGGATTCAGCTGAAACTTCC